CAGATCACCTGCGACCTGTACCGGCTGGTCAGCCCGGCGCGCGCCGGCGTGGAGCTGCTGCTGGCCGCCAAAGGGGACAAGGACGGCGCCGACGAAGCGGCGGCGGCGGCGGTGGCGGTGACCGAACCGGGCGGCGTGGCGGCCGAAGGTCCGGCGCCGCCGCGGGACTGCACGTCCGGCTTCCACGTGGACGTGGTGGTGACGGGCGTGGTGGACCAGTGCGTGTTTTTCGGCAAGGACAGCGCCAAGCAGGTGACGGAGGAGACGGTGCGGCTGCCGGACGAACCGCCGCCGCCGGGGCAGCTTTTCCTCCTGCCCGGCCGGTCCGAGGAGCCGGCGGCCACCGCGGCCACACCGGGACGAGAGGCACCCGGGGACCCGGCGCTGTGCCGGCTGTACCGGCACGTGTCCCACGATTTCCTGGAGATCCGCTTCAAGATCCAGCGGCTGCTGGAGCCGCGGCAGTACATGCTGCTGCTGCCCGAGCACGTCATGGTGAAGATCTTCAGCTACCTGCCCACGCAGGCGCTGGCCGCCCTCAAATGCTCGTGCCACTAYTTCAAATCCATCATCGAGACCTTCGGCGTGCAGGCCACGGATTCCCGCTGGAACCGCGACCCCCTGTACCGCGACGACCCCTGCAAGCAGTGCAAGAAGCGCTACGAGCGGGGGGACGTGTCCCTGTGCCGCTGGCACCCCAAACCTTACCACCACGACCTGCCCTACGGCCGCTCCTACTGGATGTGCTGCCGGCGGCCGGACCGGGACGCGCCCGGCTGCCGGACGGGGCTGCACGACAACAACTGGGTGCACCCGGCCGGCCGCAGGGAGGACGGCAGGTGAAGGATGGACGGCTTGGGGGACACTTTGGGGACACTTTGGGGTGGGGAAGGGACGCGCGGAAGGATGGAAAAAAAGGAAATTGAATGGTTGAGTGTGGACGTGTGGACGGGGAAGAAGGGGGTGGAAGTGTCTGGGAGTGTCCCCAGGGATGGGGCTGACCCCAACCGGGCTGATGGCCCCATGGAGGCTAATGGGGACAGCCCAGTAGCAACAATCCCAGTGGCTCTCGGAAGGACAGTGTCCCTCAGAGGGTGACATTCCCCTCCAGGGTGGCAACCCAATGTGGGGACAACCAGTAGTGCTGGTCCCAAGGAAGGGGGTGGCCACACAGGTTGGGGTGACCCTCAGAATGGTCACAACCCCGCCCAGGTGCAGCCCCACCAAGAGGGGTGACAACCCCACAGAAAGGCTGGTGGCACTGGGGAGGGTGGTGACCTGTCCCTTTGAGTGATGGCCCTGCTCCGGGGATGGTGACACCACACGCTGAGGGTGACACTCCAGGGGGGTGGCAGTCCCAAGAATAAGGGCCGTGGTCATCTCCTGCGTGTCCCTGCTGTGTCCCCGTTATGTCCCCCTCATGTCCCCGTGTCCCCCTCATGTCCCCTCCCCACGCCCCGTTGTGTCCCCGTGTCCCCTCCCTTTATCCGTTATGTCCCCGTTATGTCCCCGTTGTGTTTGGCCCTCGGCTCCCGGTGTGGGCGTGGCCTCACGGTCAAGCCCCGCCCCACACCCAATGGCGGTAGACCTCGTCACTCACGGTGGCTCCGCCCCCTCGAGACCACGCCCCATCCGCATTGATTGGCTGGGGCTGCGGAAGCCCCGCCTCCCCTCCCGGAAGCCCCGCCCCCGCCATGCGCCAGGTCCCGGCCGGGTCGCGCCGCCCGCGGGCCACGGGTTCGAGTCCCGGTCCGGTCCCGGGGCCGCTCCCGGGGCCGGGCCCGTTCCGGGGGCTCCTCCCGCGGTCCCCCCGCCCGGCCCGGCCGCTGCTGCCGCTGCTGCTGGCGCTGCTGGCGGCCGCCGCCGTGCTGTTCCTCGCCTGGCCCGGCGGGGAGCGCGGAGCGACCGGCCCGGTGAGCGGGAGAGGGGTCGGGATTAACGGGGAGGGGTCGGGATTAACGAGGGAGGGTTGGCGGAGGCCCCCCCAGGCTTTGGAGACCAACTGTGCTCGTCCGGGACCCCCTGTTCTCCCGGGATCCGTTATGGCGCGGGGTGGGGGCGGGGTCAAAGGATGCCGAGGCATCCCGCACCTTCCGAAATCCTCCGGGGGGACCCCACACCCTTCCGGGACCCTCAAACCCTCCCCAAATATCTCGGGGACCCCTCAGACGGTGTCCCCCACCCCCCCTCCAGGACCCCCCCGGCCCCCCCTCGGACCATGCCCTGCGGACCCTCCTGTCTGAGCTGGACCCTGCCCGGTTTTGGGGGTCCCTCCTGCGCCCCCTCCTCCACGAGAGGGTCCCGGGGGGKCCCGGCAGCCGCGCGGCCCGGCAGGTGAGACCCCTCCCCGATATCCTCAGAGACCCCCAAATTCTCCCACGGACCCTTCCAGGATTCACCAGATATCCCCCAGGCCCCCCTCCAAGCTCCCCAGACGATCTCAGACTGCCCCCAGACACCCTGTAATCCCTTCTAGTCCTCCCAATACCCCCAAATCCCCATTCAAGTCCTCTCAAACCCTTCCCAGACCCCTCAAATCCCCCCACTCCTCTCAGAACCCCCAGATTTCCTCAGTCCCCCCAAATTCCCCCCCAATTCCCCCCCAGCCCCCTCCTGGTCACTCCAGCAATGTCCCCACGTGTCCCCACCGTGTCCCCCCCAGCACATCCTGTCCCACCTGCGCTCCCTGGGGGCCGGGTGGCACCTGGAGCTGGACACCTTCGCCGCGACCACGCCCCGGGGCCAGGTGACCTTCAGCAGCGTGGTGGCCACGGTGGCCCCGGTGGCCGCGCGGCGCCTGGCGCTGGCCTGTCACTACGACACCAAGGTGGTGGCCACGGGGCCCTTCGTGGGTGCCACCGACGCCGCCGTGCCCTGCGCCCTCCTGCTGGAGCTGGCCAGCGCCCTGGACACGCG